CCACCGCGCCGCACCCCACCCCACTCCACGACACCACACCCCACCCCACCGCACCGCACTACAGCGTGTCCAGACGGGAATTAGTGAAAAGCAGAGAGCTGCGTCAGTGTAGTCGGCCGTGCCACTGAGTAGTTTAGAGCATTGCCTATAAGAAAACCCATTATAAATACACATTAGACCCCAAATACCTTTCCAAGAAGAATCTGACACACAGAGAGATGTGATGGGGACATTATTGCTGAAAGATTGATTCCAATAAAATATGGCAGAACTTAAATGCTCATGAACGGCGATTGGTTTAAAGAGGTGGTGTGGTCCGTTTTCACAACAGAGGGGCGCCTGGCAAGGATAAGAGAATCTATTTCCCTTCCTGAAAAGTGTCCTTGATAAATTTTCAAATGAAAACAAGTAGGATATAGGACAACATGAATATGTAGGACAATATGTAAAAAGAAATAACTCGAGATCTGACAAGTAAGTTCGCAAACTCATCCTGAAAAGTGAAACTTACTTCTTTGTTGACTATCACTGTGGATGCCAGACGGCCCAAAGGGAGGCCTCACTTCCAAGGTGACTTTAGTGACACTTAGCAGTGAGGTGGGCAGCACTTTTTCTAGGGTGAGTTCGTGAACTTAATTGTCAGACCTCATATGTTTATATAAACTCGGAAATATCTGGAAGGATGCACAAACTATTGAAAGTGCTTATTTCTGGTGGCAGGCAGAATGGAAGGTGGGACTACATTGAACCATTAGTTCATTCATTTTTGAAATACTGGCTTTTACTATAACAAATGCATTTTACCTTTGTCATTAGAAAACTACAAAGGGATTTATAGATTGTGAAACAAACCAAAGCCTGTGTGGAGGAGGGACTGGCTTTGAGTGGACACGCTGAACCCCCTCCTCCCTCATACTCAGAGAGTGTCCTTTGGTGGTCAGTCTCCTCCCAGGGACCGGAGCTCAGGGACCCAGAGACCAGGTGGCATCCCCCTGTAGCAGCAGAGGGTGAGAAGCAGGGGGCAGGGCTACTTGGCAGGGCAGTGCCTGTCTGTTGAAGTCAAGGTGTCGCACAGCAAGGCACACTTTAAAGTGAGGGTGCTGGGAGAGCTGTATCCTATGTCCTGTCACCCCCAGCGTCCTGTGTTAACAGGAGGGGGAGGGCAACAAAGACTGCCAGAGCTCCCCACAGAGATTCTCAAGGCGCCTGCTGCTTCTCAGGGTTGCCTTTGAATAAGCAGATCTATCAGGGCACAGACTGTTCACTGTATCTCGGGCCCTTAGCACCCCGCCTGGAAAAACTGAGGTGCCATAAACATCAATGAATGAATAAATGGCAGAACCAGCACACATAGACCCAGGAACAAGAAAGGAAGCAGCCATCTCTTCCTCCTGCTGACCCTGCCTTGATTCCCTCCCCAGCAACCCAGGCCCGGAGGCTCACAGGGACGGGCCGAGGACATCAGTCGGTTGGTCAGGGGAGGGCTGATGAGGCACTGGGGCCTAAGAAGACCGCTTTTTTTTTTTAATTGGAATCCACAAATAACTTCACAAGGTCAATTTACTAGACATAAATTCCTAGTTTAAAAGGTACAGTTAACAATTCTTTTCTTACAGCAAGGCACATCTCCAGGGATTGCAAAGAGTTCCATTTGAGCCCATTAGGGTGATGAATGGTGTTCATCTCAACCCCACGCTATGGAAATGCTATGGGGGGGACATAAATAAAAGATGACTGGGCCGGAAGATCCAGCGGAAACAGAAAGGAGCTGTGAAGACCCAGACTCTGAGCAGCCAGCCGCTCAGCCACAGCCATAGCAGTTTGAGGACCAGGGACCTTCGGGAAACAGCCCCTGGCCACTCATGGTCCACTCTTAGCGTGGCTGGGACCTTCAGCAAGTGACAATGAAGCTTCCTGGGAAAGAGAATGGGACACGTCTCAACAAAGCTGCATCTACAGCGTCCTGGAGTCTGTCCCCTCCCCTAGCATTGATGATTTTACCTTTTGGTGTGAGTCTTCATTATCCCGTGCTGTTTTATAATCACTTTCAATACAAAGTTCTCTTAGGACATGGATTTTTTAAGATGATTATGTAACTTCATTTTTTCCTTCCACACAGTGCATCTAGTATAAGTTTGCTTTAAAAATACTTTAATATTTATTTCAAACTTTTCTCTAAGATCGTCATCCCAGGGACACTGTTAGCCAAGCCAGCCTGCCTGCCAGCACTTGATCTGCGGCAGTGATTTGCAAACCATGTGAAGTGCCGAGAGGATCTTAGGTGTGCCAAGAAAATTTTCAAAGATCATTAATTAAATTATTTTCGAAAGAAGTTCAGAGCACAGTAAGTATATTCTTTTTTATGCTCTTTTTTTTTTTTTGATCAACATAATTTAAGTGTGCTGTGGAAATTTAACTATAGGGTCAAGTGTGCTGTGAGATAAAAAAGGTTTGAAAAACCCTGATCTATATGTATGGCCTGCTCACCTTCTCCCTGGATCACCTACCATATGCATCTCTGCAATGCTGCCCAGACTCTCACATTATCAGGGAAATGAGACAGACTCCCTGAGTGAGCATTCCAGATAACTGTGCAATCCTTTTAATGGTCAACATTCCAAAAAAATTAGTCCATTTGTGGTGAAATGTGAAACTGTACAATTAGTCCATTTGTGGTGAAATAAATTCTAAACTGTACTATTTTAGAAAGCATCCACTTACCCTCTGGGCTTTATTTGTGGGTTTTAGTCTTCCACTTTGATCTTACAGCAAAATCATCTTTTATTGACAAGCTCCCCTGTCATCTTAGAGGATGGACTGTGATGAGTGACACTTGCCTTCTGAGTTCTAAAGGGTCTGCTGGGCTCACAGGAAGCCCATCACCTCAGCCAGCTCCTGGGTCCTTCTGGAGTCCTCCCTCACCCCCTCTCCATGTCCACTCAACCGCCTGCCCTGCAACCTGACCCCATGTGGATCCTGACCCTCCTCTCCCACGCATACCACACCACACCCCCTCGTGGCCCTGCGGCATGGTCACAGAGACTCCTGCTAAAGTCTCTTCTTCTGCCTCTCCCCTGAGCACACCCTCCGCACTGCCCGGCAGCTTATCTGAAGGGCAAATTCATCTGTGTCACGCCTTATTGACAATGCAGCAGGAATGACAATCAGATGGGGCACTTATTTAAAAATGTGAGCTCTCTGGCCCTACTTCCAGGACATTTTATATACCAGGGCAGTAATCTGCATTTTAAGGGACAACCGCTGGCATTTCTGAGAAGATGGTCCCTCTGCGCGGCAGGTAGCTTCCTGTGTGCCCTGGCGCTTCCTCTCCCTGCCTGGAATTTCCTTCTGCCTCCTCACCGGGTCCCAGTAGCAGGCTCGGGTCTTAGTGGGAAGAGCTAGCATC